GTGGATCATTTCAGATATTAAGCTGAAAAGAACAGATACTACACTTGATCTTAGCCAAAAGGCTTGAGAGGATGAGGTTCAAACGTTTAATTTGATTTAATATTTATATATTCCAGAATTTTTTTCAAAATTATGGGATATTTGAAATGATAACGTTAAATATTAGCGTTTAGTCATGTAGTTATTGCACAAATGATCATGTGATCAATATGCCACCGTTATATTCAAATTTCTGAATTATGGAATGATTACATAAAATGATCAAAAATGATCATGTGATTTAATGTCATCGTTTTCGCTATGTGCCATATTTGGTGTTGCGTTAAAGTTCCGTTTACTTGCAAACGTTGAAAGTTCACAGAGTCATTAGCATTAAAGATTAATATAAGTCAAATTGACAACCTATTACCATGTAAACGTGCTGATTGTTCTCAATCTCGTGAGCAAAACTTGTTGCACTCAAATGGAAGTTTTTACATGATTTAAGTTTTCGTGCAACACTGCACGGAGTTCTGAATGGATGTTCAACAAAGAAATTCTGCAGTCAGGTGAAAGATGTTACACTGTACGTTTCGAAAATTGGAACGAGTTTTTCGAAAACAAATTTCTGAATATGGACCATTATTTAATTTATTCAACTTATTTATCATTATGCATCCAAATCTTGTAATCAGAAAAGTTCTATTGTTATCAGTTATATATCCATTAATGCGAACGGTGCAAGTTACATGTTGGAAGGTACTTCGGTTCTATCCGGTTATAATCTTGGAGAGGTTCCTGTAATAACGATCAAGATCCTCAAAGTAATTTTTAATGCTTACGATTTTAACATAGCATGTTTGATATTGTATATATATCAGATATATTATTTTATCGTACATACGTCGCGTTCTCAATTAATTTTTAAAGTTTCGATCTGGCACACTTGCTTTTATCGATATTATTATCCATTTATATTCTGATCCTATTATTAGTAATTTTTCATTTCGCATGTACTATATGTACGTACATTATCCTGGTAGATCACTCGCATGTTTCAACTTAGAAACGTTACACTATTGTTCTCCTATATAAAATAATCAAAGATTTTGCCTTAATATATAAAGGAGTTTTTTAAGAACGTCATGTTGATACTTAATTAAGTCCTTTTTGACAATTGAAAAAAAACCCCCGAATTATTAATTAATTCAAAGATCTGCGGCTTCGATATTTCGTCATGGTAACATCTATTTTAATGGATAGGACTTGCCCTAACATGGTTAAGGACCATGATCCCGATGATTTTAAATTTATGAATGATAATGGAGTCCCATTGCACATTGTGGGATGGCTTACCAGTGGGATTTTTACACTTCAAGCTTCTATTGTTACTTTATATTTAATAAAGCAGCATTGGAAATATTATTATGAGGTATAAATCTGTAAATGTTTAATGTTTTATTGTTTTAAGATTTTTTGAACTTCATCGTGATTCACTATTTATCTTTTCGAATAACTTTTTTTACAGCCAAGTCAACAAAGATACATAGTCCGCCTACTTTTAATTGTTCCCATGTATACAATTTTTAATTGGTTATCATATTTTTTCTTTCGTGTTTCTGTATACATTGATACTTTTAGAGACGCTTATCAAGCCTATGCCATAATTAGTTTCTTTAATCTTCTTCTTCAATGTTTGGGAGAAAATGATGACACTCGTATGCAAAAATTAAGTAGTATAAAATCCACTAGATCACCAGTACCGTTTTGTTGTATATATTTCAATCCAAGCGAGCATAGAACACTTCTTAAGCGACTGAGGATTGGTATATTACAATATGTATTTATATTATATGCCACCACTTTTATTGCGTTGATATTACAAACCGCAGGATTTTATTGCCAGCAATCATATTCTATATATTTTCCTCAAATTTATTTAATGACTGTGCAAACAATTTCAGGATTCGTAGCAAATATATGCATGGTATGTTGTAATTGAAAAAATTTTTTTTATTACAAGCATAATGCCAAATTAAACTTATGATACGTACTGTTTTTAGAATATGTTGTTCATGCCCGTTCAAGAGATCCTTGCTAATGACTACCCCTGGTTTTTGAGAAATATATGTGTAAACACGGTATGTATGATGAATTGATGATTTTAAGATTTTCGTATAATAATATTATAATAATATATTTATATGATAATCGTTTATTCCTTTATAGGCTCTTTTCTTAGTTACTTATCAAGGTCATGCCTTAGGATTTCTTGTATTCTTAGGGTATATTCGAGAAACAAAGTATTGGTAAGAGTCACAACTTTTGACTTTTAATCTCTGGATATCCGTAAAAAAATAAATACTCATGCAATAACTACTATATGATTCATCAACGAAATTTTTTAGGACTGCATACAACATCTCAACGGGAATACAAGCAGTCATGGTATCTATTGAATTCACTATACTCTCATTAATACAAATGAAAGCATTTCGTTACAAAGATTACCGTCCGGATTCTCGTGAACCAACCCTAATTTTAGAATCCATGAAAGATTCATTAATTCCCATTGATCTGTATCGCGACTTTGTTCACGCAATTCGATATATCTATAATCGAGCGTTGAGAAGGCCGACCACATCAGATCTTTGGCCTAATGATAGACCAACTGTTGAACCAACACCTCCTCCAAAACCGACTTTCTTTGATCGATTGTCGAATCTATTCATGAGACCTTTGTATAGGCCGCAAGAAAATGCTCCTATGCAATCTCAGAAACCACCAACACCGGTTCGTAAGATTAAAATTGGGAATATGGAAGTCTCATGGAAGAAAAAACAAAGCAATAAGACTAATGATAATAAAGTGTAAATATTATTTTTTTTGTTGAGTTTATGATAGACAATTTAAGTTAATTATAGATTCGTACCTTGTATTATAAATTATAGAAAATTTAGATTTTTACTGTTTAATACATACTGTAAACTGTATATGTCATTTTTTTTGAACCTGTAATAATGTATTTAATGATCACAATAAAAAAAAATTTTTTTATTAATGCGCTTCCGTCGATGAACAGATCTGAACCAGATAGGTAATATATATATGATTGAATTATTGTCATGGGTGTGGACATGATTAATTTGCTAGAGTGAAGAAGGTTAAGCTAAGTTGATCTTAATTTAAATAATACTAGATGAAAATCCGTAAATCTTAGATTGTCAGGCTAATCTCGTGTTAATTAATATAGCGATCGATAAATTATCTCATAATATATCTATATTCTCATTAAATACACACGAATAAAACGAAATTACGAAAATTGAAAACTTAAGAGACAAACTATACAAACTGAATGAATAAATATTTTTATTATAATATTCTTTTTTATACTCACGCATAATTAATGAAATGCATCTATGATAACTATAATAAACTTGAAAAACTTTTACATAAATATATATACAGTATAATATAAATTAAACATCCTCAATATACAGTGTATTCTTTAACATTATTATTTATAAAAAATAAATTGCCATAAATACGGAACTCTTTACATAGTTTAAGTTGTTTTTGATTACTATTAAAATTTTCAAACTTTGAAACAATTCCTTTCGTATCAAATCAGTTTAGAAGTATCATCATCATAATCACCATTATGGACACTATCATCATTATTAACATAATCATTCTCATTATCAAAATTATCGTATCGTAATTTCTTTCCATTTTGCAAGTTTTTCACGAATTTCATCAACCGTAGATATCTGAATCGGTATAACATTTTGGTCCCTATATTAAATTCAGGTCGCAATCCATGGCCTTTGTTCAGTTAATATTTCTATCATCATCATAGTTCCAAAACTGTAAATTTCTGCAGCTTGAGTAAACTGTTTTCTTTCCAAGACCTCTGGTACTATATATGGCAGAACACCATAAATATAACCATCTTGCTTTTCATCAAACGACATTGATAAACCTAAATCAGTAATATAGCTTCATATCGTTCTTTTAATAACATATTACCAGAATGTAAATCTCGATGTATAAAATTTTTAGAATGAATCCGTGATAAATTATGAACGGATATCGCATAATACATCCAAGATTTTTACATAACGTTCCAAATGTTATATTAAAAATAAAATCTCGGGTATTTTAATCCATGATGTTTATATGATGCTTTGCACACTACGGAAAATCCACCTCTACCTATTTCTTTAATATTTCTAAAATTATCGTATTCTACCCTACGAAAATAGTTATGTTCAGTAATAGCAGATTTTAAATACCATTCAAAAGCCAGATCTTTATTTCTATCCCTTCCTGATAAAACAAGCCAACTTGATGCATCCCACAACAAACTTCATATTCAGAACTTTTTAAATAATATTTAAAGCCTCTTGTTTATTCATTTTAACTTCAATTTTACAAGAATAACAATTTCCGAGATTATATATTCTCCATCTCTG